TGTGCCGCATATATTTACGCAAAAAAACAATATGTCAACATATATTTTTCACATAGATGCTGACATATATGCAGAGATATTGCTTACATACGTGTATGTATACGTATATGTAGACATATATGTAAGCATGCACTGAAAAAAAAATTTCTAAGTTTGTGAATTTTTTTACTCAAATCAAGAAAGTTAAATTTTTCAAATTTATTTTCTTGATTCAAGTTAAATTTTTTTCTGTGAATCTCTAGACATTTATATGCGCACATATATGTGAACATATATGCACGCATATATGTGAACATATATCTACGCATATATGTGAACATATATGCGGACATATATTTAGCGCAAAAAAAATATATGTGAAAATATATATTTGCATATATTTTTCGCATATATATTTTTCCATGCGGGTAGGTCTTATGGTTCCAGAGATTTCGTGATGAATGACTATATACGTGGAAACGTCTTATAATATATATATATATAGATTATTTGCCTAAGGTATTCGAGCAAAGACACCGACAAAGACCGAACATGCCATTGTCAAAGGTATGCCTTTAGTCTGGTAATGAGCAAAATGCTCAGCTTTTCTAGGAAGCGTAAAAAAAACATTTTTTTCAGACTTTATTTATAATAAAACTTTCAAATAATTTTGTCATTCGAAAATGGATAAAACTATTCAAAGATTATATTACAAAATTGTAACACAACAGTTTGTCTATTTAGAGTAGAGCACTTCCACACGCTCGCGCGTTATAAAGCGTGCAAAAAAAAAATTTTTACGTTGAAAAAAAAATAAATTATCAGCTAATTCTAAGATAAGCGAGAAAAAAAAAGCTCTTCACGAGAGCACTGACGGGTTAACAGTTTCACGAAAGAAAATTGTATTTTCGAAAGCGGATTTTTTCAATGTTTTTTCCACTAAATTGTATAATTTATAATTATTTTAGGTTATTTATAGTCTTAATAACCACATAATGATTTATTTAAAATACAACGAGTAAATATTAACTACACACGTGATGACACGAAACTCCTCTACTCTCAATAAATGAAAGCCCGTTTTAAAATATCGGTTGTCCATAGTACACAAAAATTTACTCGTGTCAACTAGGAACAGGCCACAATTAGATTTAACTTAATTTCTTCATAACACATACCAACGTATTTATGTTCACATGCTGTCATGTGATTTTATAATAAACATCAAACTGCTTGAAATTAAAAAATAAAAAAAAAAGTAAAGAAAAATCCGAAAAAACAAACCTGATAAAAAATGTAAGAAAGCTGAGTATTAAGGGGGTATTCTGGTCAAGAAATTTGAAAAAATCGATTTTTTTTGCATATTTTCAAAATTTAGACCCTTACGAATATGTCCTTAAACGAATTTTTTAAAATTCGAATTATTTTCGGAGATATAGTGGATTTTGTGACGCGGCTGATTCGTCAAGCTGGTGTAAATGGCAACAAACCGCAGCTGAGAACATTCTTAGAGCTCAAAAACGTCATAAGTGCAAGGGAGTAAGAAAAAAAATCCAAATTTCTAAGGGTTTTTCAACAGGCTGTAATTTGAAGAAAAATGGTCGTAGAGCAAATAAAAAAAAAAAGCAAGTTGTAGCTCCGAGTATCTAGTTTTTGGATCTGAATTCAAAAAATTTTTTTCGAAATTTTTTTATGAGTGAACTCAAGAAAATCACCGAGAAAAAAATTTTCGAAATTTTTTTTGGATTTTCTTCTTAGTCTACGGACTTGAATAAAAATGCCTAGGTGCACTGATAGAAAAACAATCTTGATTCAAGAAACTTTTTTTCTTCAAAACTTGAACTCTTGAAACTAGATATAGATATATTTATTTCAAGAATTTTTGTCTCTTGGTTCAAGATAGGCGATAACATTGATTCAAGATGTTACCGACTTGTGTTAAGAATTGCTTTTTTTTTGAGTCATTAATTAATTTACTTATTTCCAAGAAATAATTTTTTTTTTGGTATAAAAATTGAAGACTATTCAGTTTTTGAAATATACTTTGATGAATTATTTTAAGTTTTTTAAACGATAATGTTATTTTGATTGAAAAACTTAAGTGTATCGATTGAAGATAATATAGCTCTTAAGCCAAGAAAATCTAAATCAAGACAAGAAATTCTTAAAGCAAAATAATCATTTGTCTTCCAAAATAAATTCTTAGATCAAGAAAATATCTCTTGAGTCAACATAAATTTTCTATCAGTGTGGCATTTATCCGCGTCACAAGTCGGTGTTTAAATGGAAAAGAATAATTTTGTCTCTGATTATCAATATCTTAGCAACCAATAATCGCACAGAAAATTTCAGGTGGGTTTTAAAAACTTGAATAAATTCTCTTAAGGATCGGCTATTGATTTCTTGAAAAAAAAATTTTTGTCAATCATTGCATGAATTTGAAGAAGCAACAGAATAGGGCCTTTCGCAGTTTTTGGAAAATTAAGCGCCTAATCAAAAATATCGCAGAAACCACTAATGTTAAGTGTGCCTTTTACAGTTCAATATACCCACAAAAACCCTACTAAGTTTCAATTTGATCCAGCCAACCGTTTTTTGTCCCACTCAATTGAATTTTTGAAAAAATTGAAGGAGCAAGAGTTTTGCTCTGAAAAAGTCATAATTTTTATTCAAATTTAAAAAAAAACTATTTTTTAATTTCTCCCTCAATTCGTCATCAGTGACTTAGTAAATTTGAAAAAAAAAAAAAAAAAAACGAATTCTAAATTTTTCTTTTTTCTCAAAAACAATGTTTTTTTAATTGGCTAAGAATTAAAAAAATGTAGCGACTCATTTTCTCACCGATTTTCCTCTATAGGTGCAATTTCATGCTGACGCTTGACGCTGGCGTCACATGTATAAGGGATACAATTTCGTCAGAGCGTCAAACCCGAGCGTCAAAAACTAAATGAAATTTAGTTCTTGACGCCAGTCGGCCGCGATAGCCGTGCGGATTAACGCGTTAGTCTACGGATATCGTGCCGATAGGCGCGGGTTCGAGCCCCAGCGGTTGTTAGAAAATTGATTTCAATAACAACCGCTGAGGGTCGCTCTAGTAGCCGAACTGTACTGACCAGGTTTTCTGTGGTTTTCCTTGGTCACTGTGCTAAAGCTTAAATGGGCAGGCATAGGCAAATGCGTACAGTACTTGTAAGTCGGCCACAGCCGCTACCTTGAACGCATTAAGGTGTGGTAGAAAAAATCTACCACACTGAGGGGGTGGGGGGGACAAAATAAGAGGAAAAATAAATGTGATAGTTACAAAGGTATAACCAAGTGAGAAAAAAGTGAGGACTAAAAAAGTGGAAGAAAAAATAAAAAAAAAAAAAATCCTTACCCTCTCCTTGTAAAAACACACTAAGGTTGTATACAAGTAAAAATCATATTTATATAGTTCTTGACGCCAGCGTCAAGCGTCACCATGAAATTGCACCTTCTTCCACCATGAAATTGCCCTTCTTCCACCAGACTCACGAACTAAGCGATTTGTGGCGCGGATAAATACCGCCTAGGTATTTTTTTCCAAGTCCGTAGACTAAAAAGAAAATCCAAAAAAATTTCGAAAAAAAATTTCTGAACTCAGATTCAAAAACTAGACACTTGGAGCTACAATTTGCTTTTTTAATTTGCTGTACGACCATTTTTCTTTAAGTTACAGCCTGTTGAAAAACCTCAAAAAATTTAGGCTTTTCTCTTGCTCCTTTAATTTTTGTAAGAAGTGTAGTAATAGAAACAAAAATACTTACCCAGCTTCGTCTGCAACCTGTTGAAGTAATGAATCAACATCATTCTGTGGTACGTTTGTTGTAGTAGTTTGTGACATTGCGTTTTCCATATAAGAACTTTGAACATCTAAATCTTCAAATTGACTTTCGAACTTGTCCATTAAGCCAGAAATTTTTTCTAAATTCATCGATTTCATTGCTGCATCCATAGCTTTTACTACACCAGCCATTGACTGTGTTACTTTTCGTGTTGTCAAAGCTGTTTGCACTCTACTAGCAACAGCGTCCACCCTTGCACTCATTCGTAAATAATTTAAAGCTTGATTTTTCTGCCGTATTGCATTTTCGGCATGTATCCGAGCCCCTTCCATATTTCCCTTCTGAATAGCTTTCTTAACTTTAGATTTTTCTACTTTTTCTTCTTTTTCGCATTTTTTAGAATTGCGCTCTAGTTCTTTCACAGCAAATTTTAGATTAAATAAATTTTCTACACGTATTAGTTAAGAAGACAATATTTTTCCTATAAATTTTTCAAAAGCTATAACTTTTGAACGCATCGCTTAATATGTTATAAACGATAATGCAAGAACAGATCATTTGATTTCGATGCGTTTTGCAGTATTTGACGCAGTTTTTTCAACTCTAAAAATATCTTGCCCATTACAAAATCGATTACTTAAAAAATTTAAAAAAAAAAAAAAATTTTTTTCAAAATTTTTCGTCAACGATATCGCACGAACAACTGAATTGATTTTGATTTTTGAAACTGCATCTGACGCAGTTGTTGAGCTTTAGAATAATTGTTTCGGGTACAAAATCGATTAGTTTCACGTACGAATAAATCGATTTTGATTTTTCAAACGGCATTTTTTTTAAGTTAAGATCTGATTGAGTTATGGAATTGATCGATAAAACAGCTCAAAAATTATTTTGAAAAAACACGATTTCAAGAACTTTTTTTTGGTTTTTTTGGAATTTTTAGCACCGAATTGGTTCAAGTTTTTAGGAAAATTAAGTTCAGTGGAACCTTTTTGAATCCTGTGATTCGCGAATCGATCAGTCAAGCCGTTCCAAAGTTACGAGAGGTTTACACATACACACATTTAAAAAAATTAAGTAACACTTGATTCGATTTACTTAGGTCAGTTAATCGTATACTTTTTGATTTTTTATTACTTTTTATTCTCATGCTATTGAAATTTGTAGTCAGCTTATTATTTCAAATCAGTTTAAATTTTTAAAAAATCTACATAAACAAACAAAAATTCACGCAGTATTTATCTTGCACAATAGTCAGTCAGCTTTTGATTTTCAAGATTCGACAGATTACAGAATTAGTTAATAACTAACTAACTAACAGGTATGTTAGAAAACATTTGAAAATACCTAAATAAAATTTTTTTCAAGTATTTGATGTTTATCAAAGTAAAAGGATACTCTCCATTTGTGAGACAGACATTGCTGATTGTTCGGCCCCCGTTGTGACAAATTGAAAAGTACTTTAAACTCAGGAAAAAAAATTATAAAATGTACTATATTTTATTCTTCAATCAGCAATCGTTGATCTTTTTCTATATCTGTAATAATGAATCAAAAGTTATTTAAAGACATCAACATGAGAAAAAAAATGTATTTTTTGTAAATAATAAAAACAACATAGTTTTTCGGTACGAGTTAATTTAAGGACTTGTCATCTTACAAAATTGTTTATAGATGCAACGTAGATTTGGATAATAATACTTGCACCAACAGACTAAAAAAAATTTGCGAATTATAAACACTTATAAAATTGATTGATAATGTCAGCTAGATTTCATAAATGGATTTCTATGGTATAATTCACACTGACTGCTTGATAATTTATATAAATCCTATTGAAAAACTAGTCACTTGCAATATAAAAAAGTAAATTGGCTGTGCCTCCGACAAAACTAGAAAGCAATTTACGACAATTGATTAACTGTTGTGTTTATTTTAGACGATCGGATGACTAATTAAGAATTTAGGTTGATTTATTGATATGAGTCATCATAGATTTATAAATATAGTAATACTTATTTGGTATTGTATTTTGTCTCATTTGTATTAAGACACGGGCTACACATCCAGCATAGAAATGTATGGACATTCCGAAATTTGCTGTAAAACAGCACAGTACTGGCGCCATCTTTTCTGTATATCTAAAGGTGCAATTTCATGCTGACGCTTGACTCTGGCGTCACATGACATATGTGTTAATACAGATATACTATAGAACTATAGATATGCTATAGCAACGACATGCAACGGCCAAGTAGGAAACTTCGCAGAGGTTATACAATTGGCAACATGTACATATGTATGTACAGTCGGCGACATGTATTTCTCCCGTACACGATAACAAACGTCTGTTATGCTTCCATCTAGTGGATGTTATTTTTATTTATTTAAAACTTTACTTACTGTAGTTCTTTCGCCCGGGAGTATTAAAATACTCGGTTTCCATGCGTCAACATCTCTATGTAAAATAAGTATATGTAAATTTATAAATTTACTAGAGTATCTGTCATAAAGTTGCATGCACTGCACTTACTGTGAGTGTTGAAGCGCTGGAGTTTTGAAATTAAAATTTAATTAAATTTTTTTTATTTTTCAAATTCATAAATCTTTGATGAAAAAAAAAAAAAAAAAAACAAAAAAATTAAGTGTAGTAGGGTAAAGTCACCTCTACCCAGCCCCCTACCTACAGTCAGCGACAAGTATTTCTCCCGTACACAGTAACAAACGTACACAAAATATCTCTATGTAAATAGCTCCATGTCAGATATTTCTATGTAATATATTTCTAGGGAATATTTATATATGAAAAATTTGTCTATTTAAAAATATATCCATGCAAGAATAACTCTATGTAAATTAATTCTATCCGCAAAAAAATCTATGAAAAAATATTTCAATGTTAAAATAAATCCATGCTTCCACATCTCTATGTAAAAATAAGTCAGTGTAAAATTAGTATAGTATCTGCAATTTGTAAAATTTCATACCATATTGTTAGGAGGAATATTTGAGCAGGAGCAGAGGTGGGCACGTAAAATACTATACGTATAATACATAGTTTTATACATGTATTATACATGTAACAACACTGCTGAACAGCAATTAAAAAGTCACAGGTAAAAATAATTCTTTTTTATCCTAACTAGATTAAATTTAAAATTTAACCTTTAAATAATAAATAATTTTTTTCACAAAGTACTAAACAACTGAGTTTGACATTAATTAGTGTTTATTTTTCATAGAAAAACGTGTATATGGGAAGTTGAGAATTCTAATATTGATGACAGCAGCGATGATTCCGTAGTTCGACATTTATCATTAAAACGTAAAAATCGATCTGGAAGTTATGAAGAGAATAATAATTGTACTACTACTTGTAATACTGATGGAGTCATCACATTATCAACCGTCAAATTGAAGAAGAATACGCCTAAAATAAATTCTTTTATAGATAAAATAAGCGAGACTGAGCATTCAAAATTAGACGAAGCTTTAAGTTACTTCTTTTTTAGTAAAAATTTACCATTTGATCTAGTTGAGGATGAATATTTTATTAAATTTTGTAAAACATTGCGACCAGCTTAACAAGTACCTAGTCAAACTGAGTTATCAACATGTTTACTTGATAATGCTCATAAAAAATTTATTAATAATCAAGTAAACATAAATGAGAAACAAGGAATATTATTGTTTTGTAAAAATATCGATTGCACAACATTTTTAGAGATAATTGGTATAATAAAAGCTGGAAGCAACACATTGTTTATTGAATCATGGAGCTTTAAAGATGAAAATGATTATTCAGATAACTATTTTAAAATGGTTGAGGAATCAAATGTGATTATACTTAAAAAATATGATTTATCAATTTATAGTGTCGTATCCTTTGTTAATATTTTAACAATTGATAATACTCGTGATTCTACTTTAACAGTAACACCTACTTGTAAGTCTACTGTTAAATGGCATTTGACATGCCATTTAGAAACTGTGGACACGTTGACTACATCAATCCAGGACGATGTATTGGACATTAAAGTGAATCGTTTGTTAAATAAATTGAAGGATATTGAAGGATACAAATGTTGAAACTGAAATAGTGAAAAGAAACGGAGATAAAAAATCTCAACTCAAAGAAGATGTTTTTGAGCATGCTCAATTTTTTTT